CTAAACTCAAATTTACTACGCAACTGCCACAAACGCCCATTTTCTCCTTTTTCTCCCATGGACACCACTCAACCAGACTAGTCCACTCTCCCTGCACTTCTCCTCAACGCCATCGCTAAATGCCTTGCCACACGCATAGACATCCTCTCTTTCCGTGCCGTCTGTAACTCATTCAAGGACTTTCCTTTCCCATCATCTGTGTCGTCACTCTCCTCTCAACTCCCTCAAGAAACTTCAGCTTTTGTTAACACCCATGTGGACTAGAAGGAAACCCCAAAAGCTCACGAGTTCAAGGCTGATCTTCTAGGGCTCAAGAAAGAGGAAGTGAAGGTGGAGATTGAAGACAACAGGGTGCTTCAAATAAGTGGAGAGAGAAACATATAGAAGGAAGACAAGAAAAAGAGAGAAAAGATGGAAGCAGAGATGGATTACAGAAAGAAGAAGTGGCGATGGAAAATAAGGAAGAGATGAGAAGAGGGGAAAAGATAAGATAAAGATAAAAATTAAAGAGGACAGAGGAAAAAAGTGAGAAATGACACGATGGAATGGAAAGAGAGAGGGATGATAAAAAGTGGAGAAGGCATGATGGAAGGTGCAGACAAGACAAAGGCAGAACGACTTTAATTTTGAAACTTTTAAAAAGTCTTAAAACGACAATTAAAAGTAAACGGGGGGAGTAGATAAATAAGAAACAATAAAGCTACCTACACTAACATAAGGTGTACAAATTCAGTACTAACTGACGTGGCTATTAGCCACGTCAGTTCCCTCCAAGACTAAAAAAAAAAATTTCAAAATATTAATTATGAATTATCTCTCCCAAATGAATAAAAACTCTTTGAAACTGAAACATAAACCCACCACGAGCACCGCCCTGTATCCTCTACCACCACCACCGTGGCCTGCAGTCTTCCACCACTAGCGTCGACCGCCGTCGTCCACCACCAGCGCTGACCATCATCTACCGCCAGCACTCATCATTTTCATCTGCTGAATTTATAAAAAAATTGCTCTGAAAATAGAAACCCATAAGATTGTATTTGCTTTCTTTTGCTGGAACCTGACTTGCAAAGGACTTCTCCAGAAACACAAGGACTGTCCAATATATTCCAGATACAATAGCAATAATAATCTGTTTGTCTGAGAAAATAAACATTATTGCAAACTTCAAGCAGTAAACAGAAAAACTGGAACGAATTCTGCAAATCTCAATAGACGACAGAATGGCTTGAAATGTATCAAATTGGCATATGGTGAAGATGTACTTATAAAAATAACTCTTTCAACTTGCCAAAGGTATTTGCTTTCTTTTACTGTATATAGATTATTGGTAATGTATATACATGAAATAGTCTATATAGATTACTGGTAATGTATGTTGAAATGACCTTCTTTGATCGTGTAGGTTGGTTCAGCAGACCATCACATCCAAAAACGAAAAGCTTTTTTGAACTTGGTCTTGGTGTTGCATCAAAGTACGAAAGATGGAAGAGTGTAGTGAAAAAAATCCAGACAACTCTTCTTCTCATTTCAATGTTGTGGAGGTAATATTTTGTTGGTAATCTCTTTTTATTCATTAATATTTTCTGGTGCTACCGCTTTGTTTTTGTTCTTTGCAGTATTTGGGTATGTTGGTTGTTGTTGTGTGGTGGGTGGCGTTGGTGCATGGCCAAACAAAAGATTCTGGAGAGTTTTGTTTGGAGATGCAATAGCAGAAAACTGCATTTTTGCAGTTCCCAAAAGTAAGTTTGGAGCTGTGCAATGCAGTGTTTTGTTAAGAAGATTGGCTGTTTGTGCAGTGTGTTATGGATGCAACTTCAATGCTGCATTTTGCTGGCTATTAGTGTAGTGTTTTTGGGGCATACTCATTGTATAGATGATCTTGCAATCTTTTTGTGATATGTAAATACTAATCCATATTTGGAAGAAGCAACAAAAAATTCAATATATGTATATATACATAATTATATTCATAATAAGTTACTTTTTATTTTTTTGGGGCAAACCCAATAATTTTATACAAGAATAAAAGAATTACAACCTGGGAAAGGGGACTCCCCTTTAGAACCAAGAACCTTGGGCATTCCTAAAGGGCAAAACTACAAAAGCGAGGACAACCAAGGAAAGACATTCCTTATACACAAGAGACCAAAACCAGAAAAACAGACCAAGCTTCAAAACTAGCAATCCACACTGTACAAGTTGAAAGGAAATCTCAAAAACAAAAAACGCACAAACAACATGGACCACACAAGTTGTAACAGACACCTGAAGACTGCACACAGCACCAAAGGCAGAGAACAATTGCAGCAGCTTCAACAACTGCACACACGCACAAGCTACACCAGTTGCAAAATCTCCCGGAAAGAGAAAATAGAAACTGCAAAAACTGCTGCATCTTCGACCAAGCTATAGCACTTCCTCGACAACAACACAATTGCAGCATAATCCTGCAAAATACTGCATTACCCACCACATATCTTGTAACCAACAACCAAAAGCTGCACAAACTGCAAAAAACTCCCAACAACAAACACACACTGGACAGCCTATACAAACTACAACAACCTTCTAGAAATTGCACACACTGCAAAAAGCGACATCTCTCAAACCTGGACAAACTACCCGAAATGCAGCAATCTCCTAGAACCTGCAAAAATTGCCACACACACAATGAAAAGCTCTCTATATATCAACATCAAAAAGGTCAAAACAATATGTTGATCAATTCAAAACATTTAACTACATTTGCCACACACACAATGAAAAGCTCTCTATATATCAACATAAATCTCTCAATTTATATAAATGCAAACAATTACCATTGCACAGCCAAAAAAAAAAAGTGCACAACTTAGTTCATAAAAGTAACATCCATTGGGGAAACATAAAGAAACACACAAATTGCAATATTTGCTTGACTAGAAAGGGCTTATCACAGCACCCATAGATTCTAAAGGATCCACTGATACTTTCAAATTAAAACAAATTGGTACTCATTATTTTTGAACTAAAACTACAATTCACTGAACATTATTGCATACTAACCCACTTAATCACTCTAAAGCTAGTCTAATGGATGAAGTAACTACACTCATCAACAGAGCCTTTTGCTTATTGACAAGCAGGGGACAGTTATATAGCAAAGTGATCTCTCTAGTCAGACAACAACTCCTTTTTATTTTACATTTTTTCATAAAATATAACATTACTGGTATCAGGACAACGAAAAATTCCCATGTCTTCACAAAGTAAAGTCTTATCTTGAAACATCAGATCCAAAGATTCCAAAGTGAAGAACCATTACTAGCATCCTTAATAGCCATAATGCTGCTATTGCTTGATTTTGCTTCAATATTCTTCATCAGAATACGTAGCAATAATAAAAAATATAGGCAATAGTAGAGGACACCTGTCAGCAATACTAATTTTATGTAATACAAACATGTGTTCTATAGACAGGTATACCACTGATCCACAAAGAGAATACACATATGCGTACGGACACACACACAAATATATATGTATATATAAACAAGTAACCATCCATGAGTATGACCATCAACACTGATTCTGAAGTTGGACCTAAGGTTTCTGTGTAGTATCTGCCCGGTAGTCTCCCTAGTTAATTTCCTGCTCCGCAATGAGGTATGTAAGATCCACTCACAAGAATTCTTAATTGGCAATTGATAACCACAATTATACACTGAGTTTTTTATACTATTCCTATTTCTAGTCAAGCCAATATTGCAGAATCGCAATAAGTTGTTGGTTACAAGTTTATTGAAAATGTTACAGTAGCAAATAAGAGGGTTTGGTTCATACTTTGTTTGCGTCTGGTGAGCCGTGGTGGCATCTGGCGAGGCGAGGCATGGCGTGGCGACATCTGGCGAGGCGTGGAAACAACGATTGCAGTTGGTTTGGCGAGACGCGGCGGCTTTCGACAAGGCGTGGAAACGACGGTTAGTCTCTGGTTTGTCGGCATCTGGTGAGGCGTTGCGGCATCTGGCGAGGTGTGGCGCGGCGCGGCAGTGTTCGGCGAGACATGGAAAAGAAGATTCAAGTTTGGTTTGTCGGCGTCACGGCGTGTAATGAATTTGGGATGGGATCTGAGAAATTTTGAGACATTGATTGTGAGATGAGAGGTAGAGAATGAAGGGATTTGCATTGCAGTGAATGAATTTGATTTAGGGAGTCGATTCAGGAAGTGAAATTTGAAAAAAAAACAAATAATTTGTCAAAAAACTGATGTGGCAATTAAGTGATGTGGCAGGTGAGGTGTCATTTGCCACATTAGTTAGTACTTAGGATTGTACAATGTCATCAGTGTAGATAGCATTCCTCAATAAGAAAAGAAAATTTAACTGATAATTTAAAATTCTTTTTCAATGCTTCTTTATAGCCTTATTTGTTATTTATTGGGAGAATGGATGAAGCATGCTATTTTATATTTATGGGTTGTCACGTTTAATTCCAAATCTGAGGGGAGGTCAGGATGATGACCCAAAGTTTAATTGCCCCATACGTTGGGAGTTGACGTGGACTTAAAGTCAACACGTATGTGGAAAATAGACCAGAAGACCAGTAATCCCTACTTGGGGCGATTTTTCTTGCGGACATGTGAGTAACGACGATGCTCAAGAACCATCCCAGAAGACTTTGGCCATTGAAATTGTAGTCTGATTGGGACCCGTAGTTGGAAAATCAAATATTTTAATCTCTACTGCTGCTTTTGAAGGGCCAAGTTACAAGTTAAGAAGATCATTTAAGAAAAAATACTCGAGGCTGTGGCGACAATAGTTAATTTAGACTGAGTTATCATGAACTATGATGATCATTTCTCCGACCTCGGTCCAGCTCCACCTACAAAAAACAATTACTTCAGAGCATATCCCCTCATTTTCTTCATTATAGTTTTTGTGTCTTCTACCATAATTCTCTCTCTAATTTTTGGGTACTTTTTTCTCCTTAAGCGCAAGAATAAAAAAGCTGAACTCCAGATGATATCAACCAGTTACGAAGATGTGTTCAAAATATGGAATTATGATGGTAGAATTCTGTTTGAGGACATAATTAAAGCAACTGAGGATTTTGACATCAAGTATTGCATTGGCACCGGAGGTTATGGCAGCGTTTACAAAGCAGAGTTATCTGGTGGCAAAGTAGTTGCTGTGAAGAAACTTCACCGTTCAGAGTTAGCTTTCTTCAACAATTTCCAAAATGAGTCTCATTTACTGTCTCAAATACGACATCGAAACATTGTCAAACTTTATGGTTTTTGTTTGCATAGAAGATGCATGTTTTTGATTTATGAGTACATGGAGAGAGGTAGTTTGTTCTGTGTGTTGCGCAACGATGAAGAAGTTACTGAGTTGGATTGGAAGAAGACAGTGAACATTATCAAGAGTGTGGCACATGCGTTGTCTTACTTACATCATGACTGCGTTCCACCGGTTGTTCACCGTGATATATCAAGCAACAACATTCTATTGAACTCGGAATTAGAGACATCCGTTGCTGACTTTGGTTTGGCTCGACTTCTAAATATTGACTCATCCAATAGAACGATGATGGCTGGCACATATAGATATATAGCTCCAGGTGACTCCTCTAGGCTCTAATCATAAATTTTTCTTTAAATACTTCTTACCAGCTTCATTTTTAGTGTGCATGATCAATTGTATGAATCTCTCAAATAAGTAGTTTTAGAGATTCAATGATTGAATTTATCATTTCTCACAACATACTAAATCATTTAAGCTAAATTAAAAAGATTATATACACGTACCTTACCAATTTTTTTTCCCTTTCTAATTAACATAATAATGATAATTTGTATCAAGGTTTTAAAATCCGGCCTGAGGTGAAACCCGACAAAGTGGCCAAGTCTCAGGTTGACCAGTTGAACCGTTTTGACCGATAGGTCAAACCGGTGACGTTAGCATGTCTAAAGGTTTGAAATCTAGCCCAAAAAAACCCCCTAAAAATTACCATAAGTCCCTACAAGTTTGAAATCCTATAAAAACACCTCAAATTACATCATCGACGACAACAACCTAGGCCAAATAGGGCCTTTTTCGGGGTTGACAACACACCCCATCACCACGAAAACTCTCCCCTCAGCCTTCTAACCAAAACTCATCTCACCCCACCCCCTTTCACCTCACCAATCGTTGACAACAACGTCGATCGATTTTTTCAATTTTTGGTCGTTTCACTCACCGAAAATCACCTTCATCGCCACTGTTCGACTCACTGACTCTTCTTCTTCAAAACCCTCAATATCCCAACCACCAATTATTCGTCGATCATCGTTCTAATTTCTAGGGTTTGCCATGAACGGTAAAAATGGTAACAAGGCCTAGTGAAGGCCTCGGTTCCAGGTTGAAAAAGAAGTGGTCCAAACGAATTTTAAAACAATGATTTGAATATTACCAATTACTTAATCACTCTAATCAATTATGCAATCACAAATAACTATATATTACTTTTCGATTTTTAAATTAAGGAATTTTCTTGCTTCATCTAAAGTCTTTAATTTTTTTGGTAGAACTTGCCTACACCATGATTGTGACGGAGAAATGTGACGTTTATAGTTTTGGCGTTCTGATACTGGAAGTATTAATGGGCACACATCCGAGAGATCTTCTTTCATCATTATCATTTCCATCTACTCAACATCGAATGCTAATTGATCTTTTAGACCCACGTCTTCTACCACCAGTTGATAAAAAGGATGTGCAGAATATTGTGCTTGTTTCTGCTATAGCATTTGCATGCTTGCATTCTAAACCCGAATCTCGACCTACAATGCAATGTATATGTAAAAAATTGCTTACCGGAAAACCAATGGAAAAGTCCTTTCAAGAAATTACTATATCAAAACTCGGATATTCAGAATGGTAGTTTGTTGATGAATGCGATTTTTAAGCATAGATGTAATTCAAACATGTATTCTTGACTGCTATTTTCTTTTGTTTCTAACTATCCTTTAAGGATTGTTATGGCTTGTAACTAGTTAGTGTTTATATCAATCATTTCCATCTATGCTAGTATGGTATTTTCTTTATATCATTCTTTGAACTAGTATAACAATATAAAATAGAGTTAATGACATTAATCCTCTTGAGATATGATATTATAATAAAAATTCCCTTGCAGTTTCCGAAAAAACAAAATTTCTCCTGTCGTTAATAAACTGTTAATGAGTTGGTAAAATTTATACTATTATGAGTTAGTAAATATTACCACATTGCCTTCTTAATGTTTATTTTAATACATAAAACTTAATGCTAGGGGGATTTATGTTATTTCCGAAATCTCAGAGAGATTTTTGTTATTATATCATACATTGGAGGGATTAATATCATTAACTCTATAAAATATTTGATATTTAGTTTTGCCTAATGCTTGATATTCTAAAAAATGTTGTTAAAGATTCATATGCATGAAGCATGTATAACTCAAAGGAATTAGAATCCTCTAATGATTTGAGCTCTCTGGAACTTGTAAGGATCTTAACTCTCTTGAATTTGTAAGGATTTGTGATATAAAAGTCTTTTCATTTATTTTTCATTAATATGTATTTATTTGTTGATAAAATTTAGCCTACCATTTCATATTGTTCAAGTGCTACCACAAGCCACTTATAAATCAACACCTTTTAATTTATTTAAAATGGAATAATATGAATACGGGCCAAATTGTAATTAAACATAAACATAAAGATCAAATTAAATAAATCATATGACCAGGTTTTCCCATGAAAAGCACTACGAAACTTGAAGTGGACCACACTTAGAAAGCAGCAAATCGATTTCAGAATCAACGGAAGAGACATTGGGAGTGGTTTTCATTTTTTTCCTAGCAGCAAAAAAAAATTAAAAGGATTAAAAATGGTTGAGTTTTTCCATGGATTGATTCAAAACCTGATACGTTTGCCATCAAATTTTTTAGCTTTTTAATCAGAATGTTTCCAAAAACAAATGAAACATTTCGGAAAATGGGGAGGTGGTGGTGGCGGCGGCTATGGAGATTGCGGTGGTAGTGGTTACGATGTTGACGTGGCAGTACTGGTAGTTGTAATTAATACTGATACATCTTGGTTTGGTTAATAGTCTTGGTAATATCAGAACAATCATTTTTAATAAATATGACAGATCTTAATACTGTAATCAAAATCAAATATGAAAAAGAGATAATCAAAAGAAAAAATAAAAATAAAAAAAGAAAGAGGGAAAAAAAATTCGCCGTTGCCGGGGATCGAACCCGGGTCACCCGCGTGACAGGCGGGAATACTCACCACTATACTACAACGACTTGTTGATATTTTGATTGAAATCTTACTTTGATTAACTCTTTCGTTATACATTCTTCTCTCTTATGAAGCAACTAAGGTTATGTTACTTGTAATTTATTAGAATTAACTTTCATTAACTTGGAAATGAGTACAAGTTTAAAATTGCAAGACATCTGGAAATTCTTTTCTTTAGTTTTTATTCTGGAAGGATAAGACTCTACCCTTGGTAGCATTTTGGTTTCTCTTCTAATATTTAAGATGAATAATGCTACAAACACTAACGCTTTGCACCGAAATGTTAAACTGAACGATGTGTCACATGAGTCAGACGAACCACGTAGCACGTTAAGTAATATTTCGTAAATGAATGACCGTCTATCAAATATAGATGGCCGTCCATTTTTATGGGACAATCGTTCATTTGATATGGACTCCCATCCATATTATATGACGGGAGTCCACCTATAAGAACATATATCCATAGTTTAAATTAAAAAAATTAATAACAAAAATCATGGACGGACGTCCCTACTTAATAGACAAGTAGCCCTATTAGATAGACGTCCGTCCATTGTTTCAATTAAAAACAAAAGTAATCTCATTCTTGTACCAAAGTCTGTGAACCTTCATGGTACCTGTTTCTTTACTTTATTTTTTATTGCAGATGGTGGACCCCTTGATTGCATTGATGTATGCATGGCGTCTGTTTCTTTACTTTATTTTTTATTGCAAATGGCGGACCCTTTGACTACATTGATGTATGTAGTTCAAGTGATGAACTTCTATTTTACTTTGTGTTTGTATTTGAAAGTAAATAGAAATAGGAGTTTAGAAGAAGAAAATAGAAGGAACATTGCGGGAAAGAGGAGATTCTATTGTAGAGTAGAGTCCCTATTTAATGGACGGAAATGGACGAGCGTCCATCTAAGAGGGATGCCCGTCCATTGCTTTTGTTTTTAATTTTTTTTTTTTTTTAATTTAAACAATGGGCAGGCGTCCATCTAATAGGGACATTCGTCCATTAAGTAGGGACGCTCGTCTATAATATATGGATGGGCATCCATGATTTTTGTTATCATATTTTTTTAATTTAAACTATGAACAGGCGTCCTTATAGGTGAACTCCCATCCAATAAAAATGGACAGCCGTCCATATTTGATGGACGGTCATTCATTCGCGAAATATTACTTAACGTGCTACGTGACTTGTCTAACTCAGGTGACGCATCGTTCGGTTTAACATTTCGGTGCAAAGCGTTAGTGTGCGCAACATTATTCTATTTAAGATATGGGAGAATGATATTTTCCCACCTAAGGTTTAGGGAAACGACACTTTCCCACCCATCAAGTTTCAAAATGACACTTTTCCACATTTCGTCATGTTCTGTTAGCATTTTCTCTTCTAAAAAAGGGTAATAGGGTCAATTTATATAAGCGGCAAAAATTAAAAATTAAAAATTTTCAATCATGGTCAGTGTCGTTGAATGGTTGCCATGTCTCACTGAACTTTGACTTTGAATAAAAAAAAAGAAGGGAGAACGAAGAGTTGGCTATCTTTTCCGCCTCTTCTTGCTCTCTAGATCTAAAGCGACTAACGACTTAGGGTTTTTGTGCGTGTGATCAACAAATCTCCTCATCGTCCCCAGTAAGGATACACCATATCGACTTCTTTTCCATCTTTGGCTGACCTATTAATGACAAGGACATAGCAAAGCTAGTGGCTTTCTATTTTGGTGTCTTATTGGGCTGAGATAGTTCCTGCGTTGTTGATTGATAATGGGAGTGGTTTGAATGCAGGAAAATTCTGGTGATTGGCGACTTTGGGATGGCGACTAACAAAAAGCCAATTGTGGGTTCTTCGTGTTCTATGATACTGAAGCGACTGGGGACTCAAGGTTGGTGATTGACAACGACTAAGAAAAAAAAGGTGAGAAAGCAGAGAGTGAGAGAAAAATATTAATGACGACGACTTGAGTAATCTTTTTATGTTGTTGTTTTTGTTTTAGGTTAAGAAAAGTTGTTGTGTGTTTTTTGTTTTGCTCTTTATGACCTGTTGTACCATTACATAATGGAATTACAGAAATGAAATTTTTTGTAAAACTTCAATTTGGCAAAGTCAGATTACACTCTAATTTAAAGGAAGTGCTGTTGAATTTCATCTCATCTCCTTCATATCACAAACTAGTAGATTGAAAAAGTGAAAACAATGCAATTGCTTTAAGGATGAATAATTAGAAGGTTGGCTCTTGAATTGCTTTAGTTTTCAAGGACCAACATGTTGAGCCATAACTGTACCCGAAGTTAAGAAGAATTAGTACTTGCTCCTTGAAAAAGATTAATAATAACAATAATAATGATGATGATGATGATGATGTATAAATATCAGTTGGCTTGCAGATTGTTGTAAGTTTTTTGCTGTTGATAATTGAGACAACCATATATCACCAAGATTTCATATGTTTATTCTTTCTTCTAATGCCCAACATGAGACATCAAGATATTAATTCCAACTTTCTTATTGCAGGTTTTTTTTTTCTTTAGTTTAGATTTAAAATGTTTTGGCATATTGTTGGCCTCTATTGATAATTTGTTGTCAATGTAACTGTGATTGTAGAATCCCCATTATTGGAGGGAAGGAGTTAGATTTGTAATGGCTCTTTGTGGAGGTTACTTCTCGTGGTGGTATTGAGGAGGTAAGTTAAAGCTTTTATTTTGTTCTATTCTTCTTAATAAATCTGATGTCTGATGTTTGTTCTTTGTTGTTTTGGTTGTGCACCTTGTTTTGCTTAATGAATTGTCCTTATTTAAAACACATGGTTAAGGTATGAGTAGTTCTTATTCCACTTGTAAGAGAAAGTTTATTATAGGATTATGGCGGCTGACATAATAAAATAGTACTTATGAGTTGTATTGATTTAGAGGCAAGCCATATGATAATGTTGTTGAGCTTGTTGGTCATTGCTTTGATGGCCTTCTACATGTCCTTGTCTATGAGCATGATTCTGAGGGATTTTGGATCCATATTCCAAGCAGTTGGTGTTGCTGAAGAATCAAATGGTGAATCTGCTACAAGGTTGGTGTTTTTTGTTAAGTAATTAATTGCTTCAGGTTGATATGCTCACACAGTTGGTCATTTTGAAAATTACATGGTTGCATATAAAAAATTGGTTTAGTTCTGGAGTAGTTTTACAATTCTAGCTCCTGTTTTAGGAATTCTAATGACTACACTTTTTTTTCTTGTCTCTTCTCTAGTTTCTTATGTTGATGACTACAATCCTTGGCCTCACATGTAAAACATTTATATTCCAACATTCATATAAAAGTTCATAATATAATCAATTATAAACATGTTAAATACTCATGGAATATTGCGGAAGTAATTTACAAACCTCCAACCATAGCAAATGTTGTTTAGTCTTCTTGCTTATGTCACTTCAGAATACAGAGTATTCCACTTACTGCAATTTTTCAGAGCGATGGTTTTTGGGAATAAAATGAATTAATTGCGTTAAATGGGGACCTGTAAAATCTCCTTTATAAATGCAGTTGTCTTTCCATCAAAGACAACTACCCAAGAGACACAACCGCCCATTCACTTTATATTAAA